CTTAGCAGCACCAACTTGTTCTTATATGGTAACCCAGAATGCAAGTAACACTTAGCAACACTAATCCGTTCTTCCATGGTAGTTCAGAGCATTAGTAACATTTAATCAAAATCATAAAACAACACTTCACAGTAGCAATCTTGTCTTCATCTGTAGTAGAGAGAGTACCTAAAGCACTTTAAGGAATCAACATGTTTTCCCGCTGTATATAAGAAAATAAAATAACATTTTAAGATACCAATCTATTTTTCATCTGTAGTAGAGAAGATACAAAATTATGGTCAAATGCAGATTCTATCCTTCATCTGTACTCATCAAAGTACATAACAGTTCTTTTCACAGAATCAGAAATACCAGACTTTGGCATTAAATTAAAAAAAGAAAAGAAATCTTTATACTACTCTAATGCATTTTCTGCCTGTACCATGCTGTAGCTGAAAAAACGTAAATTCTAGATTTCTGCTCTCTGCAGAACAAAATAAGCACATCTTGTACAAATTCTAATAACTGTATTTATTTGGTTGACACTGCTAATATGTCTTCTAAATCTTTCCATATAGTACACAAGATTATCTGATGGCCAATGTGTATCATGATGTGCTAAAGACAATCATATCATTAGCACAGAAGTCTTGTGACATCATGCTTGCTTTAAACATCTGTTGGTCCATATGTCTTTTGACATGTGTGCTTGAATTCAACTTCTGCTGGATGCATTTGAATGAAAGTGACTAAAGGCATCACCTGGTGCTTGAATGTTTCTGATGCTGTGTTGCTAAAAACAAAAAAAGATTTGTTTACAAATACTGTTATAATTTGAACAAATATTCTTGTTATGTTGAGAATATTAACCTCTTTGTTTTTTATTTGTGAGGTATTGGTTATGCTAACACACTTTAAAATGTTATTTTACTTTTTTTTTAAACAAATCTGTAAGCATTAATGAAAATAAGACATGCTGAAAGATGTAAATATAAATACTTCATCATGGGTATTAAATGTATATACCAACAGCTGAGAAAATTGGCTACTCTCCATCTTCCATTGTGAAAAAAATAAAGGTACATTATCAGGGGTGTTACGAGGAGAATAAACCATTGGTTAAATATAACCAGTTCTCAGTTAATTTAACAAAATAGTTTCCATTGTAATCTGTGTGTAAAAAGTACCAATATACACATGCATATATATATATATAAATAAATCAAAAACATTACAAAACGACTCAAAAATCAAAATTAATTTTTCCATTACCAGTCCTTGTTGTCATCATTAACACTCATAATAAATAATGTCTGTGGCCATAACACCCAAACATGTTTGGAATATTCCATCTATCAGACAAGATCCATATACCGATATCAAATTAGCCAGCAACTAAGGAAAATCAGTTAATGGTTGGGAATTGAGTGCTTGAACCCACAATGTTTCAGTTCCTACTGTCTTTTGCTGTCTGCAGGCAGTTACCCTTAATATCTAGATACAACTTTAAAGTAGAAATAAACCACCCTATATTTCTACAATGTAAAACACCCAACCTCCACCCTTTTATGAGATGTATAAAAAGGCTGCAGATAGCAAAAGACAGTAGGAGTTGAGACATTATTGGTACAAGAACTCAACTCCTAACCCTTAACTGATTTCCTTAGTTGCTGGCTAGTTTAACATCGTCGTCTGGATCTTGTCTGATAGATGGAATATCTCCAAAGTGTTTTGTTGCTACAGCCACAGATATTATCCATTGAGTTTTAATGATGACAACAAGGACTGGTAATGGGAATTGTTATTTTTAAGTCTCTTTGTAATGTTTTTGATTGATATTAATTGCCTTATTAATTGCTGATAAAAAAGTTGCTTGTTTCCAATTATTGTATTTAATAGCTTTGTAACTATTGATTTATTATATATGTACAACAGAAATACAAGCATACTGTAGGCGTAGAATGCACATTAAAGAAAACTATTAAACAAGACCTCAAGAATCCATAAATAATACAATACTACACGAACTGGTTATATCCTTGATAATTATAATTGTTAATAGTGAAACCAATACTAAGAAAACAAAACAAATATCAATACTTTCGTGTCCTAGGTTTCAATAATATATATATATATATATATATATGCAAAAATTCTGTTCAAACCATAGAGGAGTGAATATGAAATTTCACTTTAGGAAATCATATTCATTTTAAGTCAAATATCTTCCAAGTTTGGTTTATCAGGTTTTGAATACATAACACATAAATGTAATTAATATTGAAACCACTAGGAAAAATATATACAAATAGCATTTTATTTCATGATTTGTGTTGTTATGAAAACAATGATATTACACGACAGAGATAGTAATCATGTGTGACTTACCACATGACGTCGTCGTTCCACAAAAGTGGATAAACGTGCAGTTGACAAAACATGATTAGGCGAGCGATGTCCACCCTAAAAAAAAAAGGGGGGGGGGATTAACCTGAATTTTGTAAACAGGCATTAAATCCTCTTTTATTCTTGCTTCATATCCAAATACAACTGAATTAGAATTAACCTCAGTGATTCTGTATCAACAATAATGTTATAACACTGATTATGTAAGATTTTAATAACTTCATAAATCTTTGTCTTCCATTGACAGAAATGGGATTCTTTATGGCAGAAAAAAAAAACTGACAACAATGGTATGAAGTCACAATAACCTGAGAGAATACAATTACCTAATTTCATAGTTTCTTTAACATGGAAAGCTATGGACAGCAAAGCACAGGAGTCAGTGAGGTCAACTGACTCCTCCTCGTTTTATATTGGGTGTAAAATGATGGTTTTGAACCTCTTTCTTTTTGTTTGTTTCTTTGTATGTGAGTGTATATATATATACACTCACTAGCTCACATATTCATCCAACTAATCATTTCTATGGGTACAATCAAATGGCCTACTAATCGCTGGGCCTTACTCAGCCCAAGAGCATAAAAGGATTGATTTGCATTCATTTTTGAAGTCAAATGCAAATCTTTGCACTGGATTTGCAAACTTTGGCTCTTCAAGTCATTCAGATGATGCTGACATAATTCCTACATGATAGTCCAACTTAGTAACCAATAGCTTAGGTTTAACAAGCTTGCTTCTGAACCTTCTGGAATGTTTGAATTTGTAACAGTTGAAAATATGAAATAGTTCCTTTACCAATTTCATTCATTTCTGACAGTACATAATTTAACACTATAGAAATCAAAACAATTAACAGAGTACTAGGAAACCATTAGCAGATACTCTCTGAAAGATAATTCAGAACATCCTCTTAAGGTTTAATCAATAACTGTTGGGTTCAGTGCTATGATGGAACTAGCAATATGTACAGAAAATTTACTGGAATACAAGCAAAGATACATGAGCTTTGTCCATGGACAGTTTTTATTCATTGCTAAATGCACAGTTTTAAACTTGGCATCATATGATACATCATGATCTGTCCCACTGATACAAGATTATTAGAACCAAGAATGAGATATAAATAATGTAATCAAAGCATCACCAAAGAAAATAGTATTTTCTGGACAGATTAAACACAATCTTACAGATAAAGTTTCATCTCAACCAATTTAGCCTACTATTCCCTACTCTATATTCAGTTTTAACCAACTATGTTGAGATAATACACTCAGTGGGTGAAATTACATAAGCATATAAAGGTGATGCTGGTAGCGAGGCTGGGTGGATTGGCAAGCCGCCTTTGATACTTATAATGCTACATCAGTATGGAAAAGGTTGTACAAGTATTCTTACCATTCAAAGAAATCAGTACGTTATTGCAATTTCACCACCTTTCTGCTGTTGCAGCAAAAAACTGCTTTCAACCATCTAAAACAGGGATGGCCAACTTCTTTAAGCTTGTGGGCCAGTTTCTTACCTAAACTGTAGTCTGGGGGCCAAAATCACATGATCAAGTAAAGTGCATTCAAAATACTTGCTTAATTTAAATTCCTACTGTCTACTATAGACCCTCAGTTAATTATACTATTTTGAATGAATAGCTGAGTTAAAATTTGAAGAAAGTTCTCAGAACCATCATAGGACTGGTTTGGTCATGGTTTCATCTTCTGTTTTGCCAGTTTGGCCAAAATAAAATATGCTTTAAAAAATTGGAGCTAGATAAAATATTTCTGCAAGTTGAATCCAGCCTGCTGGTCAACAGTTGTCCAGTTGTGATCTAAACTCTCAGTTTTGGGAGTCGTAAAAAGAAGTGTCATGCAGTCATTGAAAAAAAAAAAAGCAGAATTTCTTAAACTAGAAGCCCCAAATTTGCCACACAGCAGACATCTGATACAATAACGAAGCAGTGATGGTAATCTTCACCAATTTATGTTACCAGAGAGGTCTTAACATTAAATATACAATGAATTTCTTGACACTTTAGCCAAGGCAGTAAAAGCAAGATCTATGCAACCCAAATTTGAAATGTTTGTGAAAGTAGAATAAATTATCCTAAAATGTGCTAATCATTAAGATATTTATAGGACAGCTTAGAAATAAAACTGACATTAAACTGACACTGATGGCAGATGTGACAAGGTTCAATTAACTATGCTACTTGAAGTAGAAAGAGGCAAACTTAAAGTAGCAACTATGACTCAAGTATGCCATACGTTTATTAGAGAGGTGGGACATGCAAGAATTCTGTCTCCAGACATTCTTCATCTCTAGCTACAAAGTTATCTGCAGAATGATCTTTTTAAGCATTGCACTGACTGAAGACCTGCCTTAGGAAAACAGTCTAGATATTCTGCATGTACACAAATAATAATTCATTCTACAAGAGTGTATCATGTGCAGATGTATAAATGTAAACATTTGGAAAATTTTAAAAAAGTATGAACATTATAAAGCTGGTATAATTGCAGACACATAAGGGAGGTTAATTAGTATTGTTTATTGTTAATGTAGAGTTCCATCTGATAAGGCAAATTAGTTTACAGTTTTGAAAAAACAAAAAACTTCCCAATGCACAAAAATTGCCTTTTTTTATTGTAACTGACTTTTAATTTTTTCAAATTAATAAACTGCTTTGACATACTGCAAATTATGAATATTCTATCTTTGGATCATACTGATAAAAAAAATTACATTTTTAAAAAGTTAAACAGTTATATGTGTTTTGTGATATTCAGCAAACTACCTGCACATTAATTTAATATAGACAATATATACAAGATAAATACAATTTTCCACAGGTATTTTTTTTCACAAGAGTAAAAGTTAAAAAAAAATGTTGCAAACTTATTATTATGAAGAAACAACTAAATTTGTTGAAGTAATATAAGTAAATAAATAATGGGTCAATCTAATTTTGTTTAATGCCTAACATGATAATGAATTTTAAATATGTAAAATCTGTTGATGGTTGGTGCTTTGCCCAAGATCTGACTAGGAAAGCTTACAGCACTCTTCCAGATTCAGCTGGATTGTCTGGTGCTGAAGGCATCAGAACCTCCCTCCCTCATCAAATACCATCTTATAATTTGATCTTCATCCCTCACTTTTAAAACTGTTTCACAGTCTTTACGTGATGCTATTTCCAAATGTTTACATTACTAATTTCTCATCTTGGGTGTTCTACCACATACTAGGAGTAAAATCTAAACTTAGAATTAAAATTATTCTTGATGAGCAGGCAAAATGTTTGAGTAAACAAAATAGTTTTGCTCTATAATTGTGGAGCACAAATGAATTCTTGTTAACACTCCAATTAACATTAAAACTCGACTATTCAACATAAAAATACATAAATTATTTACAGCCTATGTAAACCATACCGTTTAAGTAAAGAAATGGAATGCAAATACAGTAAAACTAACCTGACGTAACCAGAAATTTTGCAAAATATCTTCTGAAGATAATCTCCGGTGAGGTTCCTTAATTAGTAATTGGCTAATCAGGTGTCTTGCTTCTCTGGTGACATGAGCAAAATAATGGTTTGGGAAGGAAAAATCATTTCTAAGAATGTTAGAACATGTCTCCTCATCTCCTTCCTCCATAAAAGGAGAGACTCCACTGAGAAAGACATACAATACCACTCCTACACTCCTAAAGGACCAAACAAACACCCTTCTTCAATCACATCAATTATTCAGATATGGCATTTTTTTTATGGAGTAAAATATAACAAAATCAAATTGCTGTCTAAAATTTTGGACTAATACAGGATGATTCTAAAGAAAACTTGTATTTAAAATTATCATATCTTAAAAATAACTTATTTCATGAAAACAAAATTTCAACAGAGGCACACTAAAAATAATTTATTCTTCAAAATCATATGATACTGAATACCTAAACTGGTTAGATAAAAGTTAACATTTTTTGTATTTCTTTGTCTCTTTCAGGATCAATGTACACATATAATCCTTGTAATAGTTTCATATGGGGATTGGCTCAATATGCTAACACTTACTGATATCCTTGATAATGGTGAGTCAAAACTAGTTGGGCATTTTATATAGCTAATGTGTATTAATTTTAAAAATTAATATTTCCTATCACATTTCTTACTTTGTAGGTGTTACTGTGTCAGCACTGTGAAAGTTTTCCTTAGAATATATATATTTATATGGCAGGATTTAATAGATCAAACATAATTATTATTTTTAAATGTTAACCTCATAAATTCATTTTTTTTTTTAAAGTATTGAGAATCTGAAGTAACTGTGAAGTTTTTCTAGAATATATCTTTACAACTGTCATCATGATAATTTCAAAGCACAAATAGTCTGTTGGATAAAACCATAAATTTTCTAAAATAATTTAATTAAGATGAGTCAATAAACCATGCAAATGAGTACTTAAAGTAGAAGTTACTGCAAATGGTAAAACATAAAACCCTATAGATCTTGCAAAAAAACAAAACTACATGTTCAAACAAGTATGAAACTCATCTAAAATGGATACAATAAGTAAAAACTTAGTAAAATAAAGCAACATTGCTTTTAATATTCTTTTAAGGAAATACAAGAAAAACTAATAAACTGTTTGCAGAATTTACTTAAGCACATTAACATCACTTTATATGTGAAAGTAAACTGCATACAGCAGGATGGAGTGATGAAAAACCTTATTTATGAAGAAAGGAATTAAGTAGTCAAAAAATGTGAAATTCAATGTCATGGAGGTATATTGTGGATTTTATTTTTACTACATTAATAAAAACATTAAGGAGCAGATGAAAGAAAACATTAATTTTTAAGCTGCATGGGTACATATGATGCACAGAAAATCTAGTCTGTCTAAGATGTAAACAAACATTTTGGTTACTTAAATGAAGCACTAACACATGTTACTGCTTATGTACTTGAAAATATTTTTCATACGTTTCTGACTCACCAGATGTCAGTATAGTAGGAGACAGGTTGTCCTGAAATAACCTCTGGTGCAGCAAACTCTGGATTTCCCAGTAGTGTGTGGATATATTTGTTGCAACTATCAAGGCTGTGGGCATCACCAAAGTCAATTAGTTTTAAACAAGGAGATAACTGCTGGGTATCCACCATCAGATTTTCTGGCTGTAAACATAATGCATATATGCAAAAATGGTACATCTATTTTGCAGTTTACAGATACTACCTAACAACCACAAGTGTTTATATCCTTCATTAGATAGAACAAAATATAGTTTTATAGATATGATGAAACCTTTTTCAAATGCTGATATTTCTTAAAACTGAAACAAAAACTAAGCTTCCACAATGGAAAACATTTTAAATAGCCTGTAATTCTATTCATTCATATCACATTTCTATTACATAATATTTTGTCAGTAAAATCATGTATGTAACATTTTCAAAACTTACCTTAATATCCAAATGAACAATAACTTTTTGATGAAGATACCTTACTACCTCTACTAACTGGCGCATGAACATACAAACTGTTGTCTCATCATAACTGGTCTTGTCACAAATGTATTCAAACAGCTGTGGACCTTGGACTCTATGACACATAAATTATTAATTTTCATATTAAATTCTGTAACAAAGCAAGGAATTACAGAGCATTGTAAGTTTGATTAACATAAGTTTCACTTTTAGCAAAATAAGTTGAGTAAAATTTAACTGTAGTATGTATAACTTTAACTCATGTATTGTTTTCACACATGGTAGTTTACATATTTTTCACATAGGACATTATGTATGATCCACAGATATTAAGTTGTAGTCTTACAGTTTAAGAACACTTTTAAAGGCAGTTTGTTGTTCACTTCGTTTGTTTTAGTAAGACTCCAGTCATTAATTCTCAAATTATTTTGCCATGAGATGTGACAGTGACCTAATATGATCATATAAGATTTGCACACAACAAAAGTTTGTTATATACGTTTGTGTGTAGCAAGTGAAGGTTATTGATAAAACATGGAGGTAGCTCAATATAAAAGAGAAAATATCAAAAGAGCTAATATGAGATATGGTATCAAGACACACGGTAGTATGTCATGCAGCCAAACACAACCTGCTGCAGGACACACTGTGTGTTATTAATATGAGTGATAGTTTAGTGGTTTTCCACCTTCTGTATCTCAGACATGCCATACTGGACTTTTACTTCAAGGCAATCCATTAACAAATACCTGAGATATAAAAAATCCAATTTTGACTGAGTTTCTTCCTTTTTTTCTTTGCATCAGAAGTACAGAAACTTTATTTAATAGAAAAACATAACTTTTAATGATTTTTTTTCAAATTTGGTACACTAATAGATTGTTTACAACCTACAATTAGGAGTTGCATTTGGTGTAAATATAAACCACATGTGCAAAGTTATTCAACAAAAACTGCTCAAATCTGATGAAACTTTTTGAGCATGCCTATGCAAAAAGTCTTGCGAATTAACAGTCTAACATTTTTACTATAGCTTCACTTCCAAGTAAAAGTGGACAGTTTTTAGTTTTTTTGTCATTCGGATTAAAGACAGCTGATTTAGAACAGAAAAACTATAAGGTGAAAAGACGTACAGATACATAAATATTAGTTAGGCTAAGCAAAATAGATTATCAGTTTCTAGCTGAAGTTTTCAAAACAATCATACAGGTGAAGGGTTATCATTCATTATGAACTTTTAAGCACAAATTTACTACATTTTGTGGGAATTATCCTAATTAAAAGAGTGTTTAGTGTCAAGTGATATTAACTTAAGCAATTAGCATAAATAATGATGCTTGATACAGCTGTACTGATTGCATGGGGGTGATGACAAGAAACTGTTAATCTGAACTCTACTGTATTACTATAAAGAAAGCAACTAACACTGTTTTAGAGAGGAAAACTACCCTAATGTATTTTAAAGAATCTGTTGGTTCTATAAAGTAAAGGTCTGTTCCAAGTAATAGGGTTGTGATTCTAAAATTAATGTGGGTTACTATTGAGTGTCACTTTCTTACTTGCTGTGGTTTGTTGGTGTGTCATGATATACAGTCAAGAACACCTTAGGTGTGAAGAAAAAGGTGCGGCCAAACTGGTAGCTACATTAATAGAATTGATAAGAATTTTACCAATAAATATTCATTCATTGGTTAGCTTGGCCACATATTTTGTATTATCCACCATCATGCCCCAAGTTTAACAAAAATGCAGCATGGCTAACTAATGAATGAATATTTACTGTAAAATTCTTATCAATGCTATAAGTGTAGCTACCAATTTTGATTTCAATCCTTTAAGTCACACCTAAGGTGTTTTTGATTGGACAAATTTACAAACAGCAATTTAAGGTTATATCCATTTATGTCTAACAAATGATTCTTATAAACTTTTGCATAAAGGAAATGAAGATTATACACATTTCCAAACAGAAAGTGTACTACAGTTGTATAGATCTGTGTGTAATATAAAATACTAAAGTACAAATGGATAATGTAAATGTCCAGCTAATTAAAAATATAAAACTCTTAAAGATGTAGTAACAGTTGTGGAACATTATTATATGTTCCAACATTCAATAAAAACTACAGATGTAACAACAGAACAAAGTGAAGTGTTCACACATTTAACAATAAAAACCACCTACAGGTGTAGCAACAAAAAGTGCTGGAAATTGAGTACATGTTAAGACATCCAACAATATGAAGAATCTGCAGATTGAATGTAAGAATAAAGAGCCTGAGAGTGTAGTAAACCTGAAACACTTAACAGTATAAGCCACTTAACAGATGGAATATGAGAACAAAGGGCTAGAGAGTATAGTGGTATTATATAACATAAACTGCCTAAGATATGTTAAGATATTAAATCGTATAAACCACCTACAGATGTAGCAACAAAACAAAATGCTGTAGAGTGTAGTAAGTGTCTAGCGCTGGCACTAGTTGATGATGATGAAGATCTCGCAACATCAACAATTCCTTCTCCACTGTTTCTGGGTCTTGCCTCTTTTTACTGACAAACTTAGCTACCATCTACAAGAAATATAAAAATGCTCTGTTAAAATATCTTTTAACAAACAGAAATCCAGCAACATTAATCAATGCAAATTTAAAGCAGAAAATAGGAATTATGCATTATAGTTTTCAGAAGATTTTTTTTATCATTCTGCTTATTCAGTGTTTAATATTATTTTTATAACTTTATACATATATTAATGAATGGATTTTAGTCAGTTAGGAGTATTAACATATTTCGTAAAAAGGTGGTTACAGTTTCATTTATGAAACATTGAATGTTTTGAAATTCAGAAAACTCAAAGTTACCTTCACAACAAAATCTCATTTCACTCTGGAAAATATACTGCTTTTGAAAATAAAAAGAAGAAAATAACACAGGTCTGTTTCATTTAATCAGACAGAAAGTATAATAATGATATTCAAACATTTAGAATTGTCTATGAGAAAAATACCTCATAAAAAAGTGACACTTGTGTTTCTTATGACCTTAGATATTAAGTTTAAAACAAATAAATTTTTTAGTCAAAACCTTATTACAAAGTTTACATTATTTGAGTTTTATATCTGAATGATCTATAATAAATAAATACATGCTATTATATTATCATCAATAAATCAATTACTTTCTGTTATTTATTTACCTGGGAACCAGAAAGTTTGTGGGCACACCTCTTTACCACAGCAAAACGTCCTCTGCATTACAAACAACAAAAATTTATCTTATGTCTGTGAACACATTTTAGAATCTCTGTTTTGCCTAATGAACAAAAATGTTATCCAAAACTCATCAGATTGGAACAATATTTTGTACTTCATTTTTTTTATATTTGTTAGAAGGTTTAACTTTTTATTTAAACAAAGTGCCCAGTATCCAATGAACTCAAGAAGATCAAATGGTCACTCTGATAACTCATATCGAGATAGTGGGACAATTGGCAATATTAGAGTTAGAATAAATAAATATAAAAGATCAAATTGAATATATAATATTGTTAGATATACATGACCGTTTTAATGTTAGTATAGTGCAAGTGTTAAATTTAGTTATTTTTAGAAGTGTTAGTTTATCACAAGTTTGTTTATGTAACTGTGCGAATCATACGTTATGTAGTTCGACTGTTATAAATTGGCAAATATTGTATTATTGTGTCATGTTACTCGAACCTTCTAAGTTTTCGAGTATTATTCCATCATAATATCTCATACTACATGGAAAGTTCTAGGCCTCAGTTGGGCCATTTATAAATATGCATCGAAAATGTAGTTCAAGTTGAGACAAAGTTAGTAAAATAGTTAAATAGACCTAGACTGTGTATTTGTAAATTAAGCAGTAAAGAGCGTATTGAGTTTTTTTTTAAGCGAAATTATCACAGACTGTATCGTAAGAACAGAGTAGAGAAAAATAACTTGCCCTGTCAATTGTGTTCTAAAGTAATTGAACAAACCTGTGTGGACTTTTGACAAAAAAAGAATTATTTATAGCTATGGATACAACTGTGGTAACTATTAGTGCAATGTAAGTAACATTCTCCCAGATTGTATTGTAACAACAGAGCAGAAGAAAATAATTCATCTTGTCAATTGTGTAATAAAGTAACTGAACCAGCCTGTGTGGACTTTAAGGAAAAGAGACAATTATTTAAAGCTTTATATGCAACTGTGGGGATTAACTGTGTAACTAATATTTGTATATATGTTTGACTTATTTTAATATGGTATTTTAAAACAAGCAGACGGTGTGGTGTTTGTTTACTGTTGAAATTTATTGCCAACAAGTCAGGGATACCTACTGTACAGAATCTTGCCAACACATGTAAAAACCTGACAAATATCTGTGGAAAGTGGTGTATTGGATGTGTTCATCTATTCTGCTTTCAAAAAAAAATGACTTACAATTTCTATTAACTTATGATCAAAGTAAGCTACCTAATAGATCATAACTACACATCGACCTGGTAATGAAAATTAGCAAATTAAATATACTGTCCTCATATTTTTATTTATAAAGATTAGAATGTATTATTTCATCGGTTGGGTACCCTTGCTGTTAATAATATTTTTGTCTGCAAACCCAATAATATCTCATGAGGTTTGGTCAGCTTTAGAGATCTAGATTAGTCCTCAATTTATATACTAAGCTAACAATGCAAAATAATCCAGATAATAAGAATATCAAGATAAAAGAATAAAAATAAAATATATTTATTAAGCAATCTAACCAACACGGTTAACGAAAGTAAAATTACAATAGGAAGAGAGTATACCTTACTTATGGAACATATGAACACTACTAGTTAGTTGATGTACTTCTACAGATTTAATGTTCCTTGAAAAACTAGACATCACTCTATGAAAAACTTTACACAGTCCTCCCTAACAATGTCTGGAATACAAAACAAAACTAACTGTTAGTTAATCTTTTACTTACCTACCAAGCTCTTCCAACTCATCATAATTTTTGTGAAAGTCTTCTTTCCATCTAACACGTGAATGCTTCCTTGGAATCACAGAATTTCCTTTGGGTTCTGTGAAAATATAGTAACTGAAACTGCTGCTACTCTACATCATTTTAAAGTTCCCTGCAAATTGTTTTGACTATACTGTTCATTTTGTGTACAATAAGAGCAACTGATGGTTACATATGTATTAGGTCATCAAGAAATTAATGTTGCTTTTTTTTAGATGAAAAAACCAGAACACCTTATATATCAAAACATATATTAAATGAAATAGTCTCCATTCTTATCGATGATGCTTTTCCATCTTACAGTCGGATTGTTAATGCCCTGATTAAAGAAATCACTTGGCTTTGAAGCAAAAAACATGTCGATGTCCTCTTTAACACTTTCCACATTTGTATACGTTTTTCCATGCAAATGAAAAATATGGTAATTTGATGGTGTCATATCTGGAAAATATGGTGGGTGGGGGAGAACATCCCAACCCAACTCCATAATCTTGTGTTGTGTCAAATGTGCCACAAGTGGATGTGCAATGTTGTGGAGAAAAAGAACACCTTTCCGATTAACAAGTGAAGGGCATTTCTGATGAAGGGCTTGATTTAAATGTTCCAGTTGTGGACTATAGATCTCTGCATCATAGTTCGCTGTAGATTGAGGAGTTCGAAATGAATTACTCCTTCATGTCCCACCAAATCCAAAGCATCACTTTCTGTAGATGGAGTCCAGGTTTTGGAGTTGGAAGTGGTTTTTGTCTAGGACTTAGCCATTGTTTTTGGTGTTTAATATTTGCATAGAGAATCCATTTTTTTATCACCGGTGACAATTCTGTCCAAAAGTGGTTCAGGCACATTACGTGCCAGAACAGATGAAGCAACATTCACACGTTGGAAACGATGATCATCGTTGAGTTCGTGAGGCATCCAAACACCTTCTTTATGGACTTTTCACATATTCCTTAGATGTTTACTTATTGTTTCATGAGACAAGCAATTTCAGGGCCATTTCATGAGTGTGTTGTTTTGGTTTAGACTCAACAAGCGTCTTCAGAGCATCAATATCAATTCCAACATGTCAGCCCCTGTCATCACAGTTTTTAAGGTTAAGGTCACCTGAACGAAATTTGCTAAACCATTGTTGACACTTATCAAAGTTCCAAACATTTCCATAAACTTCTTTGATATTCTTTGTGGCTACAGAGGCGTTGGCATTGTTTCCCTTCTTGTATTCAAACAGCATTACATGCTGAATATGTGTCTCGTTGTGTGCCATCACTATAAAGGATTAGAGTATACTAAACTTTACACCTTATATAGGCTATACTAACGTGATGTTTAGGCGGTTCGTTTAACTATTATACATGATGTAAGTTTTATGGGGAGTGGTTAATGAAATTGTTCCAAAATGCAACATTAATTTCTTGATGACCTAATACTTTTAACAAAAAATTTTAATTTATAATTACAATGAACTACAAACAAATATTTATTTTGTATTTCATTTAATGAACTAAATTTTCTCATACAGTTACATGTAGAATTCACTGTCTTGCTAAACCATTTTCTGTTGAAGTTTATTTTTTTTGCAATTCAAATGTACATAAAAAGGAAACTTGAACAAGTATAGATTAATAGAAGATTTAGAAATTTTTAACTGACCTGACACAGGGATATAGACAGGGTCAGACTGCTGCCCAGGATCACTAATTCCAACCTCATTGTTAGCTGTGACACGAAACAGATACAACTGTCCCTCAGACAAGTCTTCTAGCACCTGAGAGCAGTTGGGTGCATAGGCTATGGCAACATTCCACACTGTGGAATCTAAAAGAAAGAGAGGTATAAAAATAGGTTAAGATTTGATAAATTAAAATTGAAAACCTTTCCCCAGAGGTAACACACATACACTTTTCATTTGATAAACGTGAAATCTACAAGTCTTATTTTTGTTGGTAAAAAATTCTCCTATACAACAGATACTTGAGAGGACAAAAACAAAATGTTGACATTATAATCCATTTATGGTAAGTACATATTATGAAGCAAAATGGGAAGTATTTTCTGTGGTAGATGAAACAAAGCAGTCAAGATTTGTTTAAACAGAAAGAATTGGCGAATATAAATGAAAATGTCCAGAAAACACAATGTAGTACTAGTTCTTTCTCTAAATTTTTGTATACAATAAAGTATACAAGTTACCTGGTTGAGAGTATTCAAGTGTGTAGGCTACCAGAGGAGAGTTTCCAGAATACAATGGGGGACTCCACTGTAAACACACAGTGTTACCATTAAGTTCAACAACATATGGTTTTCCAGGTGGTGATGGCTTTCCTGAAGATAAAAGAAAAATGCTAGAACATTAATATACAAAGATAAGTTTGAATTACACTAAATTTATAAAACAGTTTTAACAATTTAGAGATCAACATGAATTATCAGAAATGTTTCTTTTTCTTTTGATAACATTTTATGAAATGTGCTTTATTACAAAATCAGTGTGCACAAAACAAGTTTCATCACAAAAATGTGATTTCTATCAAAAATAATTTATAATGATAACTTTATATATACCATCTTATCATTACCAATGCTAGCCCTAAAAGCAATTTCTTTACATGATGTAAACTATTCATCTTAGTAAGTTCTTTAAGAAAATTCTATACACAGTAGAATATGGTCAGTGATGCTAGTTTATAAAGATTTCTGTATAAGGTACAATTTAATCAATTATAATAGTCTATACATTTCTTTACAAGTTACAATTTAGTCAATTATACTAGTCTATACATTTCTTTACAAGTTACAATTTAGTCAATTATACTAGTCTATACATTTTTTTTACAAGTTACAGTTTAGTCAATTATACTAGTCTATATATTTCTTTACAAGGTTCAATTTAGTAAATTATACTAGTCTATACATTTCTTTATGAGGTTCAATTTAGTCAATTATACTAGTCTATACATTTCTTTACAAGGTTCAATTTAGTC